TCCCAACTATCACCATAGAGCCTTCATCCAGTAATTGATGGAACTAGATACCGAGATCCACAACCTAGAACAGAACAAGCTCTGGAATGCATCTGAAGAGGGGTAAAAGGGAATATATGATCACGGGACATAAACATCATAATGGAGAAATCTACAGAGACAGCTAAACCAAGCTTGTGGAAACTAATGAACTCTAGACCAACAGTTGTGGAAACTCTATGGGATTGAACTAGGCTCTCCATATGTGAGAGACAGTGGTAAAGTTTGAACAATCAGAGGACCACTAGCAGTAGGACCATGATACAAACCTGGTACATGTGCTCAAATTTCATGATGGGCATAGCCCTTAGAAATGGTTTTAACATATATATATATATATATATATATATATATATATATATATGTATGTATATATGTATATATATATATATGTTCATGATAATTTAAAACATGATATATATGTTCATGATATATATAAGTGTTCATGATAATTTAAAACACATGTATCACTTCTCAGTCTGGGTTACCACCCTCAAAATAATTCCTGGTTCAACCACTTATCCTAAAATTTGATTTAATTTTTCTTGTAAAAGCAATTGATCTGTGTATATTTATCAGATACTTATTTTCCAGTATCAGCTCAAGAATGCCTCTGCTGAGTCTATTCCATAAATAATATATATATATATGGTTTTTAATTTCCAGTTTAAACTTTTGTTCTTTGAGATTTCTTTTGTATCTGCATAAACTCTCCCACAAACAGTGATTAAAGATTCTACTTTAGACTCATTGGTAGAGTTTGCTGTCATTTACTTTCTAAATGTTATCTATTCTATTTGAGATGAAATACAAATTATAATTAATTTGGCACTACTTGATGCCTAATGGTACTGAATGGTTTCAAATGTTGGCTAGAAAACTAGAGAAAATCATTGTCAAGAGTGTGTTTGTTGGGTATTAGGAGCCACAATATATAATAAACCAAAAGGTTAACCCACAGAAACAAAACAATAAAACCATCATGTGGAAAAACTACCACACAGATGATTCTCGGAAGAATATGAAATAATGTTCAATATTCTTAGACACCAGGGAGTAGAAAATGTGAAGTTTGTCTTTAAGCCATTTCACTCAAACAAAAACAGTGTTCATCAAGAAAGTAAATGTCAACCAGTGGTGATGACACAAAGTAACAATTGAAATTCTGGTAGGAAGTTGAATTGGTACACAAGGTGTAGAAATCAACATACAAGTTTTTAAAAATTAGAAATTAATGGCTGGAGAGATGGCTCAGAGGTTAAGAGCACTGATTGCTCTTCCAGAGGTCTGGAGTTCAATTCCCAACAACTATATGGTGGCTCACAAACAGTCTGTAATGTGATCTCCTGCCTCTTCTGGCCTGCAGGCATACATGCAGGCAGAATACTATATTCATAATAAATAAATAAATAAATAATTCTAAAATTTAGAAATTAAATATCAATATATTCAATTGCTGGCAACTGTGGCTTTGAATGTCAACATGTGGTGCTCACACATCACCAGTTGCAGGAATCCAAGGAGCTTATACACAGAGTCGCCAAATAGGATGTGTATTCATGTCTTCGTGGCCTCCTTCCTCTCACTTAGCATGTTTTCCCGTCAAATATGGGGAGCACACCAGACACCCTAAGTACTATTTTTTGTTTCCCACTGAAGGTTCAAAAGCAAAGCCAATACAGACAGACCTGTAGTGATTTCTTTTAACATTAGTTACTTTCCTGGGGAAAAAAATAGAAAGAGTAGTGCACAGTCTACAGGATGCAAAAGCCAAATGAAGTTTGTTTCGTTCATACAATAAATTCAACAAGCAAAAAATTATAATTCAACATTTTTTTCTTATGTGGGATATTGTTATTTCAAGATTCCCCACTCTAACTTACTGCCTAAAAACTGTGAAAGTGTCTTACCTTTAAGATGGGCAGACAGATGGAAGGACATCCTCATCTGACTAAGAGTCCAGGTAGGAGTACCCTTGGTACTCCCATACATGGAACCTTTGTTTCCTTTAAAGGTATTAAAATGAAAAGTGAGTTGATGACAAAGGGTAATAAGAAGATCCCAACAAAATATTAAGATAGCAAAAAAAAGTGTCCAATGGAATTTGAATAACTTTGTCACTTATCAAATGCTAATTATGGAGAACAGTCATCCGTCTTCAATGCATATTCATCAGAAAAGTGGACCAAGTCTAGGTACTTGTACATGCTACACTACTGAACTTGGTTCTCAAGGAGTTTCTTGGTTGAAATATTTCTATTCAATGTTAATTAAGCTCTTTAATAATTCCTCCCAAATTTTCAAAATAATATTATTCTATATTTCTGAAGCAGAGTTTTGAGATATTTTTAACCATGAAACATTAAAGAGTAGTAATAATAAGTGGTATTTTACAACTGTTACTGCTACCTAACTCATCCATTTAATATCTGCCTTCTCTACTACTCCTACCCTAGCACAAAAGATACAGCTGGATAAACTGCAAATTCGACTCCCTCTGCTCATGAAAATCCAGCCCAGACATAACCCTGTAGCTCTAGGAGAGGAGCCCAGTCATGAGGTCCCTGGTGTTCCCATCCAGTGATCATCACTGATCACAGACTTCTCACCATGAAGATTTGGATGAAATGCATCTTGCTTGTATCTCTTTTAAAAGGGCGCTTAGGGGAACAAGAGATGCTGAGTGTGTGGGAGCATGAGTAAGAAGTGAGAATGAGTAAGAGGCACAGTGGATGTTTGTAACATTTTGCTGACCAGAATTCTCTTCTATTGAATGTTACCACTATGAGGTGCAGCTAGTGGAGTCTGGAGGAGGCTGGGTATATCCAGGGGTTCTTCGAAACCCTCCTGTTCAGCTTATGGGTTCACCTTCAGTGATTAATACATGAGCTGGATCCACCAACCTGCGGGGAAGGGGCTGGAGTGGGTTGCAGTGAGTACAAACTTAATAATTACACAACAGAGTACACATAGAGTTTGTGTGTGTGTTATGTGTATGTGTGTGTGTGTGTGTGTTTGACATTGGGCTCAGCTACACTTAAGCAAATATACAAGTGTTTAAAGCAGTGAACTTGGGCTTTGAAAACTTATACATAAGCTTTTTCATGAAGAAGACTGAATCTCTCTTGGCAACCATACATCACCTCTACATCTACATTTACAGATGGGAACCCAAGAGGTTTCTTCCTATGCCGTGACTGTCTATTTTCATCATCAATATTCTCAAGACTTCAGCATCCAGAATCCCTATCCTGTCTGGGAGATAATATCTCATGGTGGTATCCTGTCCTCTAGACCCCGCTGCCAAATTTTGCTGACCCTTTTGTGTAGGGTTTGCATTGAAGATGTATTGAGTTAGTTGTGCATCTCAGGATCACCTGTTCTCTGAATGTTACCTGATGTGGATCTCTCAATAATCTTCATTTGTAAGGATAAAAAATATTGTACATGCTCAGGGATTGAGTGCTTTTATCCATAGTTATCAGGACAATTTTTCAGAACAGAGATGGAAAATACATTTGTGCCTTAGAGGTAGAACACCATTTCAGGTCAAAGGGGTTTGTTTCAAGCTTTCGGGTTTACCTTTCAGTTTTGGTACCATGAAGGAAGAACACCTTTTGTTGGCATAAGTAACCAATACCTGGCTATATCTCAGGACTGCTCCATGAGATTGCAGCTACCCGGGACACTGCTCAGGTGGCTGAGAAGCTGATATTAGATAGTGCTGGGCCCAGAGCAGAAAACGAAATCCTACTGTTCTGCTAAAAAGGCAGGGGAAGGAAGGATTCTGCAAACACAAGCAGGCTGTTAGCACTGAGGATTAAGAAGTCTACATTCTAAGTAAGAATAATGTCTGCCCAGAAGTTCAGAGATGCGAGACCATGTTGAAGACTGCCCAATATGTGGGAAAGACAAAAACAGCATCACACCATGGGGAGTGAGGTCACAGAGAGAGAGAGTGTGTACTATGGAGAGGAAGGACTGCACTACCTCATGTTCCAGCACAGGCAAATCTCTAAGCACCAAGGGGGTTCTTTGCTGTGAGAAAGAGCAGGGCTGGATGGTGAGGAGAGGAAGAGAAATCACTGAGGATCCAGAGAGCAGAAGGATGTGGCATGGAAGGAACTAGACTCACTGCGTGTTTCAGGGAAGTCAGAGAAGAACTGAGGGTACCTTTGTGTCAAAGAAGAGCAGGTTTGTGTGGTAAGTCAGGTCTGGTGAAGCTAAATTATAAACAGAGGTCTTCAAAAAAACTTTTTTATCATTGGCTAAATAATAATCTCATTCAGTATTTATATTATATAGCAGTTCTTTATTATTTTATAATCAGTCTTTTTTAAAGTTTTAAGCAGGATACACTGTGTCACTGAGCTGTTCCCTCGGCCAGATTTTGTTAATTCAATTTAATGTAAACATTCATAGTCACTGAACCTTATGCAGAATTTCATAAATTATTATATTTTGGTTTTCTTCTCTGAACTTCCCTTGAAAGCATTGAATAGCTAATGCAAAATCATGAAATAAGTTTATGAATATCGAGAGAATAATGTAAGACAGAAATTTAAATTTAAATATTAAGCCATAAATTCATACCAAGTAAATATTTTTCATACTTTTTAATTTAGTTTTAACACAGATTCATAGACACAAATCACACCTCAAAACTATGATTCCCCTGATCCAACTGCTTGCTGACCATGCAGGGCTGGGAATGAACACAGGGCTTCATTCAAACAAAACACGCTAACAAAGGAAATGTGGCCCCAGGACAGTAAGTTATCCATTGATGCAATCAATGCTATTTGATTCTTATTTCCTCTCACACATGTGTACCATAAACTGTCTCCTCTAAGGCTCACATCCCTCAGATCAATATATAACAGGAAGTTATGCAAATAATTTTCACATCTGTGCATGAAAAGCATCCCTGACCCTGCAGCTCTGACAGAGGCCCCAGCTCTGGACTCACAGAGCCTCCCATTCTGTGGCCATCACTGAGCACACAACACTCAGCATGGAGATGAAACTGACCTTGGTTTTCCTTGTTGCTCTTTTCAAAGGTAATTTATTCAAAAGGAGAGATACTGTGTGAGTGGACATGAGGGAGGGGGAAATGAATGTTTGTGAGAGTTTACGGACGTGATTTTCTTTTCACAGATGTCCATTGTGAGGTGCAGCTTGTGGAGTCCGGGGGAGGCTTGGTGCAGCCTGGAAAGTCCCTGAAACTCTCCTGTGTAGCCTCTGGATTCAAATTCAGTGACTATTGGATGCACTGGGTCCGCCAGGCTCCAGGGAAGGGGCTGGAGTGGGTTGGTATAATTAAACACAAACCTGATAATTATGAAACAATCTATGCGGAGTCTGTGAAAGGCAGATTCACCATCTCAAGAGACGACTCCAAAAGCACCATGTACCTGCAAATGAACAACTTAAGAGCCGAAGACACCGCCATGTATTACTGTAGTAGACACACAGTGAGAGGACTTCAGCATGAACCCTGACAAAAACCTCCCTGCAGGAGCGCTAAGACCCAGCAGGGGGCGCACATCACACGGAGGGAGGGATGGCAGGAATGGGTGCAGAGATAACCCAGAGCTGGTTTATGCAGTCACAGCAGCCACCCCATTTCTCAGAGTTCTCTCTGTATTTATGGTCTGTGAAATTTGTGATTACAGAGTTCTCTTTGACACATTTAAAATAAACACACCACGCAGTCTAAGGTGAATTAGATGTATAATAGTTGATCTCTGATAGCAGAAATGACTCTGGTAGGAAAAATGATCAAATGCTGAGGAAGATCGGCAGTGTTGGTCACAGTTTTCCCTCATTAGATTCGGGAAGAGCCTCGGTGGTGACGAGTTGGAGCAGTGCTTGGGATTAGGGGAGACACGGGGGAGGTGAGGGCACACTCAGTGACCCGCCCAAAACTAACAGCCTGGGGTCTTCTGCTTTCCCTGAGAACTGTGCACATCACACACAGATGTGACCCCTTTGTATTTCCCCTGAGGCAGTTACATAACCTATAACTTTCATCACAGAGTCCCCTATTAGAATTCGTTCATCTGACGTCTGTCCTTTGTTCAAAACCGACATGACACACTTAATTGAAATGCAGCTGTAAGTGGTGGGACTTGTGGAAGGTTGCTGGTGAATGATAAAAATTACAGGAACATGAATGGTCACGGATATTGTTGGGTAGAATGGTTATTGTATTTGTGGGAGAGCATAGCCGGAGGAAGGAACATTGGGGAGAATCCCTATGCCAATCTGTAAATATGTTTGCTATGCTGGTAATAAATAAAGCACTTTTGGCCAATAGGAAACAAGATAGGAGGGACTAGGAGACAAGGAGGAGAGAGGAAGTAGTAAGGAGGAGTCAGCATGGAGAGAAGGGAGAGAACAGAACCACCGTCCCCTGTTCTCTGGTAAGAGCACGTGGAAATACATAGAAATGGGTTAATAAATAAGACAGAGCTAGCCGATGAGAAACTAGTACCTGGCCAACAGCATCATATCAAATACAGAGTCTGGGTGTATTGATTGGGGCTGGCGCGGTGGCGGGACAAGACCAGCTGTGGGAGGAAAAACCATACTCCCTACAGGAAGGAACATAGGGGAGAATCCAGAATGGATTCATGTGTGGAGTGGGGGGGGGGGAGAAGAGGAGGGAAGTGGGGAGACCGAGGTGAAGCATCCAAGAGGCCCAAGTAACTAAAATATTTGGATTCTATAAGGATGAGCTGCTGGGGGAGGGTATCCCAGCCTCTGGATGCCAGACAGGAGGACTCTGTAACAGGCAGGACCAGGGAAGGCAAGGAATCTGCCTTGGTACTTTCAATAGGCACCTCAGCCATGTTTCCCAGGATTGAAACCTAACATCACAGGTTTAGTTGATAATGAATAAGTGATTAAGAGCAATGTGCAATCTTCTCTATGGTTACTTCCTGCTGACACAGAAGCATCATTGTTGGGTGGGGTTAAAAGAAGTTGGAATGCTGACCCAGTTCAGGAACAACACCCTGTTTTATTACCTGTCAAACTCTTGGAAACTCTAGGTCTAGGGACATATGGTCATCAGCTGGAACATGCTGTAAGCCAGACCCACCTGTACAAAGTCTCTTTGAAGTTGACCCATTTTTGCATATTTTAAGGGAACATCAGCAACTGGATAGTTAGTGGATCAGGCTGCAGTTTAGTTTAAATTTGATAGCTGAAACATAGTAGGGAGAGAATGCAAAATAAGGAGTTTAGTGTAAAATATTATGTGGGTCTACATTTGAAACTTTTTATCCCCATTGTCCTAGTAATTGGTCCAAGGCCAGACACACACACACACACACACACACACACACACACACACACACTGCTACTACTACTACTACTACTAATAATAATAATAATAATAATACACACACACACACATACAGGGAGAGAGAGAAAGACAGACAGAGAAACAGAGAAAGAGAGAGAGTTCACGGTCAGGATTGGGGTCAATGAGAAGGTGGGAAACAGGTTGTTGAATTATGCTACCTATTTAGAATCTTTTGACTGTGAGAAGTAGATCCAAGTTTGTACCCTGAGACTGAGAAATGTGTAAATAGTGTTCTTAATAGATCTAAGTAAAAATATCATGAAGCATGATAATAGAGGAAACACTCAGAGATCAGAGAGAAGGAGCAAGCTATGACCACACCAGCAGCCTTGATATGGAATGATGGCTGGCATCCACAGACAGGAATCCCTCCCACCATCAGCTCCCAACTTATTTAATGGAAGTTATTAGAGAAAAACTGTGGTTTCCAGGAGTGATCACATCTGCCCCATGCATGATTGTCTACAGTTTCAGTTTTCCAATGAGAGAACATCTCTATTAGGATATATGTAATTACAGTTTTAACACAATGCATGTTGGACATTTACACCCTGAGGTAAAGATGATTTTCCTAACCACTGTCCCATGTGATGTTTCCTCTGCTGGTGTTGTTTAGACCCTCAAATTGTGGAAGACTCTGAGTGACCATTGTCCATGCCAGCTCAAGTCACCTTCAGTGGCTGTCCCAACTCCTTTCCCATTGTTAACAATATTCAGCTTTATGTTTGTGATTCTTGTTAACATTGGCTCTGCACTTACTGTTATAGAAATATTGGTTGTAGTTAAAGATAGAAAAACTGAAATAGTTCTACTGTGAATTATGGAAGGATTAAATTGTCCCCTGTGAACCTTGAACACACTATCTCTTGGGTATACTGAAGAAAATAGATAAATATATAAGCAACATTTAATCAACATTATATAAGCTTGTTCTGCTAAGATTTGTGAAATAAATTTTGAACAAAGGTGATTCCAGCTGGGCAGGGTTGGTACATACCTTTAATTACAACATAGGCATGTGAATCTCTGTGCATTCAGTCCATCCTGGTCTACAGAGAGCATTCCAGGACAAGCCCTAAAGCTCTAGAGAAACCCTGCTTTGAAAAACCAAACAACAAAAACAAAAAAGAAAGTCCCCCACTTACTGGTGAGAGAGAAGGAACGGTGGGAGAAGAAGAAGAGGGTGGGGAGGGGAGAGAGCAGAGGTAGGGAGCAGGAGGAGGCGTGAAACACTGAAGGCTGCACACAAAGCAACCTGGCCATCCACGACGAATTGTGTTGAGTGAGAAGTCAGACAGAACCCCACCCGATATGACAACAACCATGACCTCTAGGAAATGACAACCAAACTTAGGCACTTCAAGTAAGATCAGGGCTGGTAAAAGCTTGGTATAGGGCATGGAAGCAGCCGAGTACAAAAGAAGGTCCTAGGGAAGGTGGGTGAGGAGGAGGACATCCTTCTAGGTGTCCTGTGTGGCACACATGGAGGACATGGAGGAGTCAAATCTCAGTCTGTACACTGAGCTTCAAGTATCAGTCAACCCCCACTTATATTTCACAAATAGGGAAACATGTGAAAGAGGGATTGAATTAGACATTAACAGAATAATTTCACTTCCCTGGACACAGACAGGTATGAACAGGCCTCTTCAGACCCTTAGAAGAACATTTCAATGCAGGTATGCCTCATCGTCCCACTATAGAAAAGGAGTTTCCAAACTTAGGTTGCAGCTGTACTTTGGGGAGTTTCATGTCCATCAGGGATACAGCCCACCCTGTAAAAACTGCAGAGAATAGTTTCATTCTCTGTATCAAAGCAATGATTTCTGCCATCTATAATGGAGGATATGGAGAAGAGGGTTAAAATTATCATGAAATGGTATCTTTTGTTTGCAGGTATAAAATGAAATAGATGAAACTTAGTATGTACCAGTAGAAAAATAATGTATTATGATGGAAAAAAATTCCGACAACTTTCTTTAATGTCTCACTTGATCAGCACATTCACTAACATAATAGGACATGTTTTCTCTAAGCTCCAGGTAGAGAACTTGCGATATAGCAGGAAGACATGCAAATAGGGCACCCCTGTTTTTGTTAAAACCAGCCCAGCAGAGACCCGGAACTCAGTGAAAGGAGGACAGCTGTGAATTCTTAGGTCATCACATTCAGTGATCAGCAATGAACACAACTCACACCGTGGATTTGGGACTGATTTGGGTTTTCATTGTTGTTCTTTTCAAAGGTAATTTATGAAGAAGAAAAGATGATGAGTATGTTTGTGGACATGAGCGGTGTAAATACTGACTTGCTTGGCAGTTCTGACAGTGTTCTCTGTGTTTGCAGGTGTCCAGTGTGAGGTGCAACTTGTGGAGTCTGGGGGTGGCCTGGTACAGCCTGGGCAGTCCCTGAGACTCTCCTGTGTAGCCTCTGGTTTTGATTTTAGTAACGATTGGATGGACTGGGTACGCCAGACTCCAGACAAGGGGCTAGAGTGGATTGCAGAAATTAATGGAGATAGCAGTGACATCAAGTATGCACCGTCCCTGAAGGATCGATTCACCATCTCCAGAGAAAATGCCAAGAGCACTCTGTACCTGCAAATGAACAGAGTGAAGACTGAAGACACAGCCACTTATCACTGTACTTGGCCCACAGTGAGGGGATCTAAGTGTGATCCTAGACATAAAAGTCACTGAGTTTGCGACCACCAGGGGGTGCACAGCACACACAGGTCTTGTATTCAGTTTGGGAGATTATGCAGACATTATTCCCTCGAGTGTTTAGATTGCATTTTTTTCTGTAACAAGTATACTGGAATTATCTCTACTTGTATGCTCTGAAGTGTTCTGTCATCCTCAGAACATTATACTATTTTTAAAATATGAGGCACAGTGCCCCCTGAACAAACTGACAGAGATGGGGACATAAAGAACCCTTCCTTGGTCACTGGAATCTCATGATAGGGAAGTTCTGCACACTCCTCAGTCTTTGTGGATTTCTTGTATATAATGCTCCTGGGATGTGTTTTTAAGGAAAACCAAGTGATAGTCAGAGCTAAGATTGTTAGACCATAAAATCTAGCTGACCTGGAACCTCCTCTCTCCTCTTCCTCCTCTCCTTCAAGACTACGCATAGCAGATTCAGATTTGCCCAGTCATGTGTTTTCTAAACCAAAGCTTCCCAAAACACTGTTCCTCCTGAGTCTATGCCATGTGCAGGAATCTAAGGCCTGAACCGAATTCTGCTTTGCTTGGCTCTTGTTGCTAAGCATTGAGAGCAACACTGTTCTCCCATGATATCCTAAAGCTCAGCTGTTCTGAATCCTGGAGCCCACGCAAATTCGTTTTAGAAAATTAACACACACACACCACACACGCAAACACACACACACATACATATTTATATATATACATATATATATATACATATATACATATACACATATACACTTATATACATACATACATACATTTAGAAGAACAGAAATTGGTACAATGCATTTATCATCATCTTTGATCATCAACCAACCCTTAGCATAAAAGCTTGTCAGTTAACAATAATTGGGCTGCTTTGTATAGATAGCTGTACCCTAAGGAATCTACAACTCAATTATTTCTCTTTGTGAACATTAGTTTGTTTTTTGGGACTTTTAAACTCAAAGCTATTATCAAATCATCTAATCCAACCTGAAGTTATTTTCAGACTTGTTAGCAACTACAATGCACACCAAAACCTGTGCATTTGCCTTTCTCCATTAAGATTGGAAGAATTTGAGCCAGCCTGGTTTCAAGGGACTCAGTTGCTTTCCCTAATCATTAAACTGAACTACAGTCTACACATGTGTGAAGCTGAAACTCATAGGCCCTACCTGTGTGACACTTCCTTGTACTTTTAATTAGTGGGGATCTCCCCACACCCATTCACCCCATCTAAGATACCAGAAAAACATGTCAGCAGCACACTAGTAGGAAAGACATTCTGGAGTCTGCGGTCCCACGTTTTTGACTATGAGAGATTCACCCACCATATACTCACCTCCTGGTGTGCTGACAACCTGCTGCTCTGCTGACAGGGCCACCTGCGTACGTACAGAAGGCAAATGCTGAGCTCTGCCTTGAAGTTCAGCTTCTCAGTCACTCTACATTTCTAGCGACAAATAGGTGAGTGTGTAGCTAAAGATCTGAATTGGACAATAAGACAAGAAATTCACAGCCTGTTTGGAAAAGGCTCATTTATGTGCTTTGCTTAACACTGGAATTTAGGAATGTTACATGACCTCCATACACAATGGGAGTTTCCAAACTCAGGAAGCCATTACACTTTTAAGTTCATCAGAAATGAACAAACAGTAATGATAACTCCTACTGAAATGAGCACTACAAAGCCATATCACTGTGGTTTTTAATCTCAGAAATGGAGACCTGAGTTGAAATGAACATCAAAAGGAGAGCAGTAGATGCTGACTGTGAGTGGACATTAATGTGAGGGACAATGGCCATGTGTGATGATTTCTTGATCAAGATTGTCTGTGTTTTCATGTATTCGGTGTTAGGTCAGCTTGTGGAGTTGGGAGTGGCCTGGTGCAGCCTGAGATATCCAGGAAACTCTCTTGTGTGGCTTCTGGATTCACCTTCAGTGACTACTGAATGGACTGTGTACACCAGGCTCCAGGAAAAGGGCTGGAGTATGAAGTCTGAGGACACAGCCACTTATTACTGTGCCAGAGACACAGTGAGAGCATCTCAGTGTTAATCCAGACCTACGCCTCACTGTGAGGTCCCACAGGACCACCAAGGGGCACACAGCACACGTGGAACACACCCATCCCAGGAGATTATGAATAAATAACTGTACACTCTTATCAGCAGTTTTGACTCCTTTCAACTCACAGTTCTCAGAATGTCTATAAATAGTTGTTCTGTGGGTGACTATTGTCCTCAAAACATCTAGTGTTTTCCTGCTGTTATTTAAGAATAGAAAGCAGAGTCTCAGATGAACAAAATGTGAGATGACAGCCATGAGGGCAAAAACATCTCCATCTACATCACTGAAATCACAGGAGGAAGTTCATGGCTATTCCTGTCTTTTGTCTCAGATTCAAGCAGATCTTCAGTCAGATTTCTTTATTAGAGTAGCACTTATATTTAAGCAAAAGTCAAGGGGAAGATGGGACCCACAAGACAGGTACATAAACATTATCAAGTTGGTAAACCTCCCCTCCACTCCCGATAAAAGTGCACATCAGGATCATAATTAACCCTCAGGTCCTCTTAGCAATATAAGTTTGATTCTTCATGAATTTTATCACTGCTCATCATGTGATTTTCATTACCTGGTCCTTCAATAAAGTCAGTCCAGTGTCTCTATGAAGATGTCTTTTCAAGGATGCTTTTTTGGCTTCTACAGGACCTGAATGTAGGATTACAGTACCAGGAAGGTACTGAACATATGCATCTGATCACATGATATTGTTCATGAGAAGTGAGATCTACTCACCTAGAAAATCTCTGACCTACAATTGTCCATTTAATCTAACTCTAACAGGGATCACCTTGGAACTCATGGTGTTACCTCAACAGTAGCTCATTTCTCTAGAAGCCAACAATATTCCAGCCTTATTCTCTGAAGAGTTTCCCTCACTGTGCTTAAAGCAGAACAAGTCTGTCTTAGTATCTTTTCTTTGACTGTGATAAAACACAATGACAAACAATGACCATGTAAACAGGTAGAGAAGGAAAGAACATCTTTGGGCTTATGGTTTCCAAAATTAGAGTCCATTAGAGTCCAAGATTTGCCAAACAAATCATAGTGGCTAGAGCATTAGTTGATGGATTAGTCCATAAGGAGGTAGCAAAGATACACTCTGGAAATTCCATGAAACTTTAGAACCTTTAGGCCTTCACTCATTGACTCATATTCTCCAACAATACCACACCTACTATTACTTTCCACGAGTGCCTGTATCTTAGGACCAAGTATTCAATATAGGAGCCATTTGGGGACCATGTAATTCATTCTACCATGATTCCAGTCACTGAATGGAATTCAGTATTGGCTGTTAGGAATGTAAAGGAACATGGAGGTTGGAGAAGATGGAAGTAGTCCATTCAGGGAAAGCAGGGAATGACAGATTCAAGTGGCTGAGCCCGGGAAGGTTAGGTGGACCACTACTTTTCCATGAAAAAGTGGTTTTGCACTGTAAGAGTATGATTTTTCCGCCTGCCGCTGCTAGTCTTGACCCGCCGCTGGTCTTGACCGGCCGCCACGCCACCAGCCCCAAATAATACACAGAGACTCTGTATTTGATACAATGCTGTTGGCCCGGTTACTTGTTTCTTATCGGCTAGCTCTGCCTTAATTATTAACCCATTTCTGTTGATCTATGTATTTTCACATGGCCTTCTCTTACCGGGGAGGCGGTTGGCGTCAAGCTCTCTCCAGACTCTCCATCTTGACTCCTCCTTACTACTTCCTATTTCCTCCTTGTCTCCTAGTCCCTCCTATCTTCCTTTCCTATTGGCCAACAGTGCTTTATTATTAACCAGTATGAGAAACATATACAGAATGACATCTCCCATCATTGCACTAAATGTGATGTTCCAAATTTTATAATAAAAAGTTCCACAAGAATCTACATAATGAAAAATGCAAAGTGATATTTTATGATGAGCTCATATCTGAGGGATAGGAAAGGCTCTGCAGTTGGCATCAGACATCAGCCAGCTGCCCCAAAGTTCTGCTTCATACTGCTGTTTTTAAGAAGAGAAACATTAAAACAACGAGTTGATGACCATCAAAAAGGAAGAGAATTTCGCATGCTCAATCCTAAATTGGATGTCTTTGTCACAACCCTCCCCTCAGTGCTTAGGAACCTATGAAGAAGAGTGGCTGGAATGACTACATGAACCACAAATTATGGGCTTCATCAAAGAAATTGATTTTAGGAAATAAGATAGCAGATGCATGCACATATAAACTCACAGAGACCATGACACATAGATATTGTGGTAGCATGAACAAGATAGAAAAGCTTAAGTCTGTGGTGATATCTTGCTTGTGCAAATTAAGCTAGTCTGAAGATCAGAGGATGGAGCTTGCCACTAGTTAACTACAGTGTTTGGATGTCTGTACAGCCAGAGAGGAAGTGATATGGCTAAGAAGAGAAAGGTAAGAGGACTGGGCCAAGAGAAGATAACCAGGAAGAAACAGGAACTTGCCTCTTTTTTATTTTCCCATGGAGCATCCAAAGTATCCATTTGTCACCTGCTGACAGATTGAATAGAAACAAAACAATGACATCCAGGTGCAGTCATGTAGATCTGACAGGTCATTTGATTTGAAGTAGGGACTAGGGCTTCTCTCCTGTCTCTAGGTTAAGGCACTATCCCTCCATGGGGGATGTGTCTGCAAGGTTCTATGGTGAACCAAGTATACATCCTGGCTCCACTGTCTGAGGTCCCTTAGACTGCTCTGTCCTTTTGGCTGAGACCCATATTCAAGGGGGCTTGAGCCAGTCCCATGCTGGATTCCCAGCTGTCAGTTGGGGGGCCGGTTAGATCCTCCTTGTTCAGGTCAGCTGTGTCTATGGAATTGGGGTGGGGGGATGGAAGGGGAGGGGTGGTCAGGGTGCATGTGAGGAGCAGAGAGGGTAAAGGAGAGGGAAGGAGGTAGGTAAGGAGAGGGAACGTGGATCGACATGTAATAAAGTAATAAATTAAATAAAAAAAGAAACAAAAACAAAACATTCCTTGATTTTCCACATGATCTATAATTTTAAGACTTGGTGTGGATAGGTTCAGTTGTAAATCACAGAACAATTTAAGTAATCAGAAAACCTTTCAATTTATTTCCCCCATCATGAGGAGTAGAATCCAGGATCTTCCATGAATGAATGTTATTACTTCAAATAGATGGGAAAACATGATGTGAACTATTTGCAGCTTCCAATATGTTGATGCCTTATTAAAACAGGTTGTTCACATTTTTTACACAATAATATTGGAAATTTTCATCCTTCTAAATATTACTTTTCAAACCAAAGTCTCACGTAATAATTCATTTGAAAATGTTCTTATACCCCATCTGGTGGAAATGTCAGATTGACCCTTATGCATATGCCAGGTAATGTCATCTACGATTTCTGTTCTTTCTCCCTTTCATTGACAACAACATTACTTATCTCTGTTTTCTGCTTTTGATTTCTATTTTGTTTTTTTTGTTTGTTTGTTTGCTTGTTTTTTGTTCACATTGCCTGCATACTCACTGCTGTGAAATCTTAAATGCAGCTGAAGGTAGGAAAGCTAGGGTGTTTACCTAGAGGTAGAGAAGGATCAATGGGAGAAATGATGATTCGTGTTGGTTCAGGGTTAAAGATTACATGATTTGGGACTTTGGAAAAGGAATAGTAAATCTAATTTTTCAGATCTGAGCCTTCTCTGGATATTATTATGGTGACCACAGCTATGTGTCAAAAGGTTTTGGTAAAAAATAAACATATAGAATTTTGCATTACTGAGATTCTAGAAAGCACATCTCATTGAACACCAGTGTGAAGGAGAAGAGCAAGGGATTCTTTGTCTTTTCTCTAACACCATGTGAGCCAATATGGCTGCCAGTGACACTGGGCGACCACAGTGAACCTGCTGTTTGGGCACATTCTTGACACCAGGAGTCTGTGTATTAACTTCTCAATATCTCCCAGATTTGTGGAAGAAAAACCATATATACATGAGCATTATTTAACGAATGTGAAGTGACCTGTTTCTGCTTTGATTGGGGCAAATATTTGCTCAACAACCATATGAATCCAGCTGACACAAACATTGTTATTACCAGCACTCACCAACCCAGGGTCTCCTCTTCATGATCAGTGAGACCGGAATTTTAGCCCAGGCCTGGATGGAGAGGCCATAACATGACTGAAGCTGTGACAACTTCATTGCTAGCAAACCTAATTTTAATACCTACAATTCTGATAACTGTATAAAAAGAGTAAGGATGGCAGGGACAGGATGTAGCTTTAGTCACTAGGATGGGGATCAGGTGAGGATTGTGGGAATCCCCACAGCTTCTGTGGACTGCCTTCTGAAAGTCTTTTGGCTGAACAACACCTGATACAGTGGATATGTGATGTCTGCAATTTTGTACACAATAAAACTTCATTGTTAAAAATTGCACATATTTATACCTTCTTTTTTAAAATAAATATTTATTTTTGATTTTAGTAAAACATTTCTTCATGTAATGTATTTTGATGAGATTCCATGCCCAGTCCCCTCAGATGATTTCCATATTCCCACAAGTACCCCAGGGGCTTTCTTTTTCTCAATAGAAATGAAAAGAACCTATCAGAAAAAGGGTTTACAAAATGAAAGCCATCAGGAACACACACCTGCAACATGCTGAAAAAGAAAATATTAAAAGCTTAAATATGAAAGAAGAGTAAAAATTCTATAATTTAGGAGTTTTGACATTTCCATGGACAGTTCTCATCACTACCATCACATATGAATCAATGTGTCAGGGAAGTGAACGAATTTCTCAGGTTGGGATACTATTGTTCTCGGGATTGGCTCCTTCCTCAGACAAAATGAGAATTTGGACCTCAGCATCCTGCTGCCTGACCCTGATGTCCTCTATCACTTTCTTCTCCTGCTGGAATAGGCACTTATCTAAGAAGTACCCTGCTCATGAATATGCAAATCACATGAGTCTATGGTGGTAAATACAGGGATGTCCACACCATCAACAACATATGACCAGTGTCCTCTCCACGGTCACTGAGCACACAAGTCTTCACCATGGGATGGAGCTGGATCATCCTCTTCCTGGTGGCAGCAGCTACAGGTAAGGGCAACAAGTTCCAGACCTGAGGAGGGGCCATGCACTCAGGTGACAGTGACATCCACTCTGCCTTTCTCTCCATAGGTGTCCACTCTCAGGTCAAGCTGGAGCAGTCTGGGGCTGAGCTGGTGAAGCCTGGGTCCTCAGTGAAGCTCTCCTGCAAGGCTTCAGGATATAGCTTCACTAGCTACAATATGCACTGGGTGAAGCAGAAGCCTGGACAGGGCATGGAATGGATTGGGTATATTTATCCTGGAAATGGTAATACTAAGTACAATCAGAAGTTCAAGGGCAAGGCCACACTGACTGCAGACACATCCTCCAGCACAGCCTACATGGAGCTCAGCAGCCTGACATCTGAGGACACTGCAGTCTATTACTGTGCAAAAGACACAGTGTTGTAACCACATCCTGAGTGTGTCAGAAATGCTCGAAGAGCAGAAAGCTGCCCTGGGACTGAGATAACAGAGAAGATCAGCCTGGAGACTCTCTCTCAGAGATATTTAATATGAGAATGCCATTGCCTGACTCCTCCTCATAGTAATATAGTGCCTTTTCAACTTTTCTAAAGCAAAGATTCTCTGAGAATAAAGGGGATGCTAAATCAAGATGCCACCTACCATAAACTGTATTTGACCACATATTTATCAGTGATAACCTCCATTGACATGCTTCTTTAATGAACAAATATGTATACAAGCTGTGTAAGTACATTATGACATAAATATCTTCTAATTCTAAGAGACTGGAACATTTTCTGTTGTAGCTGGTAGCAAATTATTATGTGAACTTGAGCCATAAAATACAAATCAAGAGTCTCAGGACAAACAAAACTCCTTTCAAAATTCAATTTCTGTACCTAATATCATACCAAATACATGCTTTGAAGTTGTTCACTTAGCTCTGTGTGAAGTTACTTTGCCTTTCTTCATAAACCAATGTTTATACTTTTATTTATAAGTAAGTCAAATTGAATTCTTTTGTTAGTTTCAGTTAAATTTCTTATGGTTTTAGAGTTAGAGATGTAGTGAATGTCATGGGTGGGGTCTTCAGGGTGTGGCATTTAGTAATTTGGGTTTTTGTACAGATGAAATCGAGGCCACAGTAGTGAGATTCCAAGATATGTAAGAGGACTATTCATGTCATTAGGAGCACTGCGTACTCACTCCCTTCTTTCCTGAAATTGGATCATATTTGACACAAGTACTAGATTGACACTGGTATATGGTGCACAATACCCTTCCCACACACAATATTTCTGTCACAGGTAGAAAGGACCACACACAAATTCTATTTATTTTTGCTCTATTATAACTTGGACATGTCTGGGCACAATCATTTCTGTCTATGAATGCTTTGGTATCTTTGTGTTTGCTTTGTTTTATTTTTTACTTGGGAGAATGCACATACACCTTGACTGTACAAACACTATCAGAGACAGAAATAATTCTGTCTTGATATCATGGCAGCCATCTGACTATAGTAACACAGCAATAACAAGAATAACATCAAAGTGGGATTCTCTGGCTTGAGCATTCTTAACTCATATGAAGTCATCAAGCTGTGTGAACCACACCCTGTTGCTGAAAAACCCAATTTCTTTCCCATCTGACCTGGCTACTCTCACACACATGATCACCTTCAGGTTGAGAGTTGATTAGGATGTCTGTTTTCCCGACAGTGTATTTATTTTCCACCTGGGATTTCTTCTCAAAGTTCATCTTTGGCCTTGATTGTCCTCTGGGCCTTTTCCAGATGATCACATGATACCCTGGAATTGTCTCTGCACCAAGTAAAGGTGAACAGAAATTCCTTGTCCTTTAAGGTATATTTTCCTCCTGCTCTAGTCTGTGCAAAGTAATATGTCTACAACATCATGAATTCCCTTGGTCTTATATAAACCTCAGTGTCGGTTAGAGACAAAAGAGGGTCCCCTTACCTGTGAACTTTGGGGAACCATCAACAGAAAGAATAAGAATGGTATGGCTGTTGGGTCTTTGTTACATTTTAACATGATGGACTCATGAAAGGTTCATATGGCTGACCTCTGTGGGGACAGACTGAACTTCTCAAGAAGTACATCTTCCATACTCCGCAGAACTCCATCTTAAGAGTGCACTGTTGCATCACAGTCATGCAAGATTCCTAGGACAACATCCCAGACTTGCACATGATTGCAGAGACATTATCAATCTATAATCAAACAGATTTGTATTTCAGAGCAATCCCTAAACGGGAATTAGTTTAGTCTACTGGAAAGCATGTTCTGTCATAGTAAACACAGAAGGACACATACTGATATTTAATGTTATGATTTTCAAATGACATCAAGTTTGGATGATAAATAACATTGCTAAATACTTTTGCATAAGACAGCAAAAAGGGAAACATAAATAAATTTTGTTATGCAGAGTCCGAAGATCCAGTGCCAGTAGGGTGTTTCCTTACTCTGAGTTTATTCCTCTCATTAACCACATACAAGGCCCAGGAGAAACTTCTCTGGCAGTTAGAACCCTTCCCTAGAAGAACACAAGATCTGTTAGTTCCTAGAATCTATGTCACTCTCTTGGGAATGCTACAATAACAGAAACAACCCACTTCAAAAACTCTCAATCACCATGAAGACAGTTCATCTCATAGTGGAATGAATTTCTCTATTGAAATAATTGGACTTACATGGGTCAAAAGCAGATGGTGTTCTTGGGCAGAAAGGACAAGTGTACATGTAGCCAGAAACTGTCTCCAATTATAACACCTTTCAAATGAAAAATTATATTTCTCTAAGGGAGTCTAACTGAGGAAACCAAACACTCCAAAGCACAGGATGAGGTCCATCAGCAGATATCATCAGGAATCCAATTAAAATGCATTTGCGAGGGTCCTTTTCTCATGGTATCACATGGCTTTATTGAAACTTTATACATTTATAATTTATCTCTTATTTTATCCTACAATTCCCTTACCTATATAATACAGGTTCTAATTTTGTATTTTTATGGGATTCCTGAATATGTATATGAGGAGGTCTCTGCATCCAAACCTGGTACTTGTGCCTTTTCTTGGACTCCTTTCTTTTAGTAGTCAGTTTGTTTTGTCTTGTCTTGTCTTGGACCAATGTGTTAGTTTTCCTTTGATCTCATTTCATTTTATTTTACTCACTAGAAAACTGTTTGTTCTCAAAAGACAACAAGGTGGTGTATACACATGGGAAGGACTTGGGAGTTGAGGAAGAGGAGGTGTGGGATGGAGCCATTTCTATCAGCATGAGTTTCCTCTACATCCCACAGTCTGAACAGAGCAAGAAGGAAGTGTGGACCCTGTGTAACAGCAACTTTATAGCGTGAAAACTTTCAGGGAAACATGGAAACTCATCTCATGGGCAGAAAAGGGAAGAAATACTTGAGCAGTGTGGGCTTACTAAACCTAGACCAGGAACTCAGTAACTAAAGTGTGGAAAGAAGACCTGAGACTTTAAAATAACAGGAGTGGCAACTGTGATTAGAGGAACATTATTCTGAAAAACCAAAATTTGGAAACAACCTAGATGCCCCACGACTGAAGAATGGATAAAGAAAGTGTGGTATGTAATGAGTAAGGTTTTTCCTCCCGCCGCGGGACTTATCCTGACGCCACACCAGCAACAAATAACACACAGAGACTCTGTATTTGATAAAATGCTGTTGGCCATTATTTGTTTCTTATCGGCTAGCTGTGTCTTAAGAATTGACCCATTTTTGTTAATCTACATATCTACATAATTCTCAATGCTTTCATCTTACCTGGGAATGGGCTGACATTGTGCTCTCCCCGGTATCCTTATGCTGAACCCTACTTTCTACTTCCTCTTTCCTCCTTGTCTCCTAGACTCTTCAATCCTCCTTTCCTATTGGCCAACAGAGCTTTATTCATTAACCTGTATGAGATACATGTATACATAATGGCATCTCCCATCAGTGGTACATTTACACAACAGAGTACTACTCAGTGCTAAGAAATAATGGCATCCTAAAATTTTCAGGCAAATACACAGAAATAGAAAAGCAAACAAGCAAGCAAACAAAATTATCCTGAATGAGGTAATCCAGACCCATAAAGACAAATATACTTTGTACTCACTCATAAGCAGCCTACAATCCACAACTCCTGAAGTCAAACCCTCTCCCACAAAGAGAGGCAGATGAAGAAATCCACAACAAACCATTAGACTGAGCTCCTGGAGTACAATCTAAGTGAGGGAGAAGCGATAATATGAACAAAAGGGTCAAAACAAGATGGGGAAATACACAGAATCAGGTGACACAGGCTAGTGAGAGATCAGTGACTCAGGTCTGACAAGAGCTGAACCTACATAAGACAGATATAGACTCCAGTACTACAAGCGATAATAGTGCAAATGAAGTAATATATGAAGACACTTGCAGTGGTCCAACATCTAAGTCTAGTGCACAAATGACTTAGTGGAGCCCATTCTATAAAGAAGCATTGTTCAACCTAGACAGAGGGGTGTGGATGATGGAGAGGTGACTTTGCCCTGCCTTATTGTGATGATGGCAAAGACTTAGTAGATTCCTAGGGGAACCCTTACCCTCTCAGGGGAGAAAGTGGGTAGTGGCTGGGGAGTGGGAGGTGCACGAGAATAGGAGAAAGGGGGAAATGGTGGGGAAGCTGGGCTAGGAAGTACACGTGGGGTCACTGCAAAATGTGTTTCCTGTGACCCCTGTAGTGCCAATGACCTTTATTCCAGACCCACGCTGTAGGGAATCAGACACAATGCTGGCCGTATGTTAATAATGACTTGGAGTGGTGTCCACCCTCCATACCTATAACGTCTAGGCTGACCACACATGCAAATTCATCTTCTAGCTCTAAGTTAAATCCCCTCCTGGGCTTTGGGACCTCACATCTCTCTCACAGGTGGCTGACCTCTGAGAAAAGGAGGTGTAGCCTAGAAGATGAGAAGGTTCGCCTTCTGTACCTGGGCACAGCCCTTCCTGGTGAGTGTGACCATTTTACAAACGCATCCATGAGGGGATGTGACAGCATGTGACTGACAGAATTGACTCTTCTTGTCTGCAGGTGTCTTGTCCCAGATCCAGCTTCAGGGATCAGGACCTGGCCTGATGAAGCCCTCACAATTGCTGACCCTGACTTGGTCTGTCACTGGTTCCCAGGAAAGATGCTGGAGTGGATGAGGCACATAAATAATGATGGTGGCACTAACTACAACCCATCCCTCAAGAGCCGCATCTCCATCACCAGAGAAACATCCAAGAACCAGTTCTTTTTGCAGCTGTAATCTGTGACCTCTGAGGACACAGCCACTTACTACTGTGCAAGAGGCACAGTGAGGGGGCTTCATCATGAGTCCAGACACAAACCTCTTTGCAGAGAATCTCTGGCCCAGCAGAGAATGTTCCACACTAACCAAGCCCAGGGACTCTAAGACTTCAGAGCCAGAAAGAAAAACACCTGGCTTCCTCTGACTCTGCTTCCCACTCCTTCAGCATAGAAAAGACCCCCTGTCTTTTCTCTCTCTGATGCTCAAATGCTGTGTTTCTATAAAGTCACATTTGTTTGTTTCTTCACTGTGTCTCTCAAAACAGGGTAACTGTAATATTTCTTGTCACTGTGAATGTGGATGAAGTCTTTACCAAATGAGCCATCAATCTCTGTGGTTTTATGAAAATGTGGAACTCAGAATCTCATGTGCCATGAACTTCCACATAAAAATTGTGATTCCACATTTGATGGCTCACATACTCTACTTTCCACATCATCTGTATGTTAGAGCTCACACATAGGCTGCTCACACGAACAGTTGCTGGAATGACTAGGGAATGAGACATAGTATGATAAGGTGGTCAATAGTGCAAAATGAGCATGGAATGAAGGTGCAACTTGATCTATGAACAGAGGAGAGGGGTTTATCTTCATTTTCACAAAGCAATGTCTGGATAATATGATATGATATGATAGAATCCCCATCATTTCTCATTTGTCTGGAAGAAGGCAAATAAGTTGGGATCAAGAAAATATTCCAGAAGGGAAATTAGATGACATCTAATGGGTAAACCTGGAATGGTGAGGGCAGTTAAGGAAAAGGGAGTGAAGATGAGACCATGAGGGAGTAACATGATTGAGGAAGGAGATATGCAGTAGAAGAGTAAAGAATATCATAATGAGTTAATATTAATAGAGAGTGATCCACTATGGGGATAGGGAGCAACTTGATGCTGGGCTATTTTCCAAGAATTCACAAGGGTGAACCCAGCTAAGAGTCCTAGCAATAGTAGAGAGGATACCAGAATTTGCATTGCTCTATTATCAAATCAATTAATTTCCCAACTATCACCATAGAGCCTTCATCCAGTAACTGATGGAACTAGATACCGAGATCCACAACCTAGAACAGAACAAGCTCTGGAATGCATCTGAAGAGGGGTAAAAGGGAATATATGATCACGGGACATAAACATCATAATGGAGAAATCTACAGAGACAGCTAAACCAAGCTTGTGGAAACTAATGAACTCTAGACCAACAGTTGTGGAAACTCTATGGGATTGAACTAGGCTCTCCATATGTGAGAGACAGTGGTAAAGTTTGAACAATCAGAGGACCACTAGCAGTAGGACCATGATACAAACCTGGTACATGTGCTCAAATTTCATGATGGGCATAGCCCTTAGAAATATGTTCATGATAATTTAAAACATGATATATATGTTCATGATATATATAAGTGTTCATGATAATTTAAAACACATGTATCTCTTCTCAGTCTGGGTTACCACCCTCAAAATAATTCCTGGTTCAACCACTTATCCTAAAATTTGATTTAATTTTTCTTGTAAAAGCAATTGATCTGTGTATATTTATCAGATACTTATTTTCCAGTATCAGCTCAAGAATGCCTCTGCTGAGTCTATTCCATAAATAATATATATATATATATATATGGTTTTTAATTTCCAGTTTAAACTTTTGTTCTTTGAGATTTCTTTTGTATCTGCATAAACTCTCCCACAAACAGTGATTAAAGATTCTACTTTAGACTCATTGGTAGAGTTTGCTGTCATTTACTTTCTAAATGTTATCTATTCTATTTGAGATGAAATACAAATTATAATTAATTTGGCACTACTTGATGCCTAATGGTACTGAATGGTTTCAAATGTTGGCTAGAAAACTAGAGAAAATCATTGTCAAGAGTGTGTTTGTTGGGTATTAGGAGCCACAATATATAATAAACCAAAAGGTTAACCCACAGAAACAAAACAATAAAACCATCATGTGGAAAAACTACCACACAGATGATTCTCGGAAGAATATGAAATAATGTTCAATATTCTTAGACACCAGGGAGTAGAAAATGTGAAGTTTGTCTTTAAGCCATTTCACTCAAACAAAAACAGTGTTCATCAAGAAAGTAAATGTCAACCAGTGGTGATGACACAAAGTAACAATTGAAATTCTGGTAGGAAGTTGAATTGGTACACAAGGTGTAGAAATCAACATACAAGTTTTTAAAAATTAGAAATTAATGGCTGGAGAGATGGCTCAGAGGTTAAGAGCACTGATTGCTCTTCCAGAGGTCTGGAGTTCAATTCCCAACAACTATATGGTGGCTCACAAACAGTCTGTAATGTGATCTCCTGCCTCTTCTGGCCTGCAGGCATACATGCAGGCAGAATACTATATTCATAATAAATAAATAAATAAATAATTCTAAAATTTAGAAATTAAATATCAATATATTCAATTGCTGGCAACTGTGGCTTTGAATGTCAACATGTGGTGCTCACACATCACCAGTTGCAGGAATCCAAGGAGCTTATACAAAGAGTCGCCAAATAGGATGTGTATTCATGTCTTCGTGGCCTCCTTCCTCTCACTTAGCATGTTTTCCCGTCAAATATGGGGAGCACACCAGACACCCTAAGTACTATTTTTTGTTTCCCACTGAAGGTTCAAAAGCAAAGCCAATACAGACAGACCTGTAGTGATTTCTTTTAACATTAGTTACTTTCCTGGGGAAAAAAATAGAAAGAGTAGTGCACAGTCTACAGGATGCAAAAGCCAAATGAAGTTTGTTTCTTTCATACAATAAATTCAACAAGCAAAAAATTATAATTCAACATTTTTTTCTTATGTGGGATATTGTTATTTCAAGATTCCCCACTCTAACTTACTGCCTAAAAACTGTGAAAGTGTCTTACCTTTAAGATGGGCAGACAGATGGAAGGACATCCTCATCTGGCTCAGAGTCCAGGTAGGAGTACCCTTGGTACTCCCATACATGGAACCTTTGTTTCCTTTAAAGGTATTAAAATGAAAAGTGAGTTGATGACAAAGGGTAATAAGAAGATCCCAACAAAATATTAAGATAGCAAAAAAAAAGTGTCCAATGGAATTTGAATAACTTTGTCACTTATCAAATGCTAATTATGGAGAACAGTCATCCGTCTTCAATGCATATTCATCAGAAAAGTGGACCAAGTCTAGGTACTTGTACATGCTACACTACTGAACTTGGTTCTCAAAGAGTTTCTTGGTTGAAATATTTCTATTCAATGTTAATTAAGCTCTTTAATAATTCCTCCCAAATTTTCAAAATAATATTATTCTATATTTCTGAAGCAGAGTTTTGAGATATTTTTCACCATGAAACATTAAAGAGTAGTAATAATAAGTGGTATTTTACAACTGTTACTGCTACCTAACTCATCCATTTAATATCTGCCTTCTCTACTACTCCTACCCTAGCACAAAAGATACAGCTGGATAAACTGCAAATTCGACTCCCTCTGCTCATGAAAATCCAGCCCAGACATAACCCTGTAGCTCTAGGAGAGGAGCTCAGTCATGAGGTCCCTGGTGTTCCCATCCAGTGATCATCACTGATCACAGACTTCACACCATGAAGGTTTGGATGAAATGCATCTTGCTTGTATCTCTTTTAAAAGGGCGCTTCTTAGGGGAACAAGAGATGCTGAGTGTGTGGGAGCATGAGTAAGAAGTGAGAATGAGTAAGAGGCACAGTGGATGTTTGTAACATTTTGCTGACCAGAATTCTCTTCTATTGAAGGTTACCACTATGAGGTGCAGCTAGTGGAGTCTGGAGGAGGCTGGGTATATCCAGGGGTTCTTCGAAACCCTCCTGTTCAGCTTATGGGTTCACCTTCAGTGATTAATACATGAGCTGGATCCACCAACCTGCGGGGAAGGGGCTGGAGTGGGTTGCAGTGAGTACAAAGTTAATAATTACACAACAGAGTACACATAGAGTTTGTGTGTGTGTTATGTGTTTGTGTGTGTGTGTGTGTGTTTGACATTGGGCTCAGCTACACTTAAGCAAATATACAAGTGTTTAAAGCAGTGAACTTGGGCTTTGAAAACTTATACACAAGCTTTTTCATGAAGAAGACTGAATCTCTCTTGGCAACCATACATCACCTCTACATCTACATTTACAGATGGGAACCCAAGAGGTTTCTTCCTATGCCGTGACTGTCTATTTTCATCATCAATATTCTCAAGACTTCAGCATCCAGAATCCCTATCCTGTCTGGGAGATAATATCTCATGGTGGTATCCTGTCCTCTAGACCCCGCTGCCAAATTTTGCTGACCCTTTTGTGTAGGGTTTGCATTGAAGATGTATTGAGTTAGTTGTGCATCTCAGGATCACCTGTTCTCTGCATGTTACCTGATGTGGATCTCTCAATAATCTTCATTTGTAAGGATAAAAAATATTGTACATGCTCAGGGATTGAGTGCTTTTATCCATAGTTATCAGGACAATTTTTCAGAACAGAGATGGAAAATACATTTGTGCCTTAGAGGTAGAACACGATTTCAGGTCAAAGGGGTTTGTTTCAAGCTTTCGGGTTTACCTTTCACTTTTGGTACCATGAAGGAAGAACACCTTTTGTTGGCATAAGTAACCAATACCTCGCTATATCTCAGGACTGCTCCATGAGATTGCAGCTACCCGGGACACTGCTCAGGTGGCTGAGAAGCTGATATTAAATAGTGCTGGGCCCAAGCAGAAAACGAAATCCTACTGTTCTGCTAAAAAGGCAGGGGAAGGAAGGATTCTGCAAACACAAGCAGGCTGTTAGCACTGAGGATTAAGAAGTCTACATTCTAAGTAAGAATAATGTCTGCCCAGAAGTTCAGAGATGCGAGACCATGTTGAAGACTGCCCAATATGTGGGAAAGAAAAAAACAGCATTACACCATGGGGAGTGAGGTCACAGAGAGAGAGAGTGTGTACTATGGAGAGGAAGGACTG